ATAGACTGGTTGTGAAAAAGGAGATTTTGATTAAGTAGTTGATGAGGAGAGTGAACGAAAGCATTTTGGCTGTTAAGAGGAGGATAAAGAAACCAGATGCAAGAAGGGCAACATCAAGAATTAATAAAAAGTTGTGAGTGATGGTGGAATTGAGAGTGTGGTTCCAGACCAAAACCACAAGTGCTACAATGCAAAGGTATTGAGATATGGAAATGGAATCTGGCATCACCTTAAGCATGTTTCTTTTGACAACATTTGCATTCATCACCATTTCTTGAAGGAAAGTGTTGTCAGTGTGATTGTCATCAAAACCAGGCTGCATACCTCCATAAGCAACTTTTCTCCATCTTCTTTGTGTTGGAGAGGGGATTTGATTGATACGATTCTCCATTGCCCTAACCTAGAAAAGCAATCAACATTAGATTTCATATCAAACAACAACAAGAATACCCAAATCTCATAATATGGGGTAAGGGGAGGATGGATTTATTAATGAATTCTCAATGGTGGATGTCATTAGATCCAAAAATTGATGTAGAATCTGAACAATTTTGTTCAGGCATTTTATCAAATAGCTAATGTGCATGTCAAAATGTTACATTGCAATAATCAAACTAGAACATATACTCATACAGATCTTCAAAGAAATATAAGAACAAGTTAATTGATGGAGCACTGAATAATATGTTAATATCGAGCATACTACATGACAAAAATCTGAGTCAAATACTGTGTAAAACATAAATTATCATTGCACATACGAAATCAATTACCTGTCCACAGCAACAGACCGAATAAAATCAATTTCTTTTCTATGTTTTCGGTTATTGACAAGCTGCTGAAGGATTTGAAACTCCAATATGGATTGAGATTGTTCCCATTAGGGGTTTTAGGGCATTATGCAACGCCCGTTACCACCAATTCGTGATTTAACCGAAGACATGGTCAATCGAAGCCTATTCAGCAGAATTTTGGGGGAAATACCTTATTGAAATTGGTGGCAAATTGAGCTAGTAATCTTCTCTTTTTCCCCTGATCTTCTTCTGAATTTTCGATAATGATATCATGAAATCTATGTATATGTTCGAAATCTGAGGATTCAACGCGAAATCAATATTATGATCTGTTAAAGCTCTGGAAGCTTAACCAAGCCCCTTTAAAGTGATTAGCACAGAGTCCACATGAGACAGATGACGTAGGTAAGCGTAGCGTTAAGGTGGTAGTGGTCGTTAGTTCGTTGTTTACCACCGATTGGTTTTCTCCCAACTTTGTTGTCTTTTTGGTGGTTTTATGAGGACAACATTGATGTTTGTTATTTAAGGGGTAAATTACAGTCACTATGGTTCGGGTAATCTGTGTATTTGGTCTCTAAAAACTTTTTTTAACTCGTCTTTAAAACATATTTTTGTTACGCCTTTAGTCCTTATCATACCTATAAAGATTAAATTACCCTTCTTTATTTCTTTTTTAATTTGTTTGTTATTTGTTTGTTATTTATTTATTAAAAATGTTTATTAATAAGATGTGACCACTTGTGTAATTTACTGTTAAATGTATTGCTTGTAATTATCCTTCCACTCATCTGATTTATCTCTTGCCAGAGTAAACTACCACCCTTATGCCACTGGAAGTCACCACCACCTCTAGACCAGACTACTTACCACCATCTCTTCCACCGGAAAAAATCTAAAAACCCAGATGAACCTCGATACGTCAATTTGTAGAATGAATCAACGTCACATTCCACTCATCAGATTCCAGCACCACCCCTGTTTTCGGATGAGTTATCTGGTATAAGTCTCTGAGGGAAATTAGACCACTAATTGTGGATCTATGCTTGGGTAATGTGGAGTTGTGGAACGATTGGGAGAATATCAAAATTAAGAGAGTGGTTTAGAGGTTAAATGAATTTTGGAATGGTCCAACGAGGATGAACCCTCAGTGACTAGTACTCCGTCAAATCTAGATCTCCCGATTTTCCCAAAACCCGATGTTCAAAAACCGATTTCAAAAGACCATATATGTGAAACTCTTCTTTTTGAGAAATCGATATTCAGAAACAACAACTTTAATGATTTTCAGAACCCCTTATATTTGAAACCCGATGAGACAACGCCTTTCATGATTTTTAGAAACCCTTATCCGTGAGAAATTGATTCTCAAACCTGCAATAAATGAAAGGGATCGTGTAATCATTTGTGGGCACATTTGGTTCATCGGTATTCTAGAACATCCTTCGATTCCCCACTGTGATGCTCTGACAAAACCATATACCAACACCAATTGTAGATGATATTTTTGTTGGCAAGAAGATCGGTCAATAATGTATGGAGTTCTCGAAGATGGAGATAAGGGAGATAAGGGTCGCCTACGAGGGTACGGTCACCAATGATGGAGGATTCCGGCGTTTTCTTGGTCTGGTGTCAGGGTGTCAAGTAAGGTGTTAGGTGCATTTCATGCACTCATTTTGTAGTTTTACTCCATAAAATTGCATTGCATTTAGGTTTAAACTCATGCATGTTTCATATTTTTCGGGATTTTTTATGATGCAATTCCATTCATACACGTTTGTAATATTTCAGGGACTTTTGAAGGTAGGATCTTAATTGAGGTGATGAATAAAAGATTTGGATGAAGTTTTAGTACTGTTGGAGCATCGAGGATGGAGTTAGCAAAGAAAATGAAGATTTCAGTTTTTCAGAGAAAATTTTGCACTAGGATAACTAACAGTGTTAACTTAAGACATCCGTAGATGTACATTTACCTCTGTTACTAACAGTTGGGTATAGGAATAGTTAGTCCCTTAAAGTATACATGTAATGGTATCAACCTAAGACATCCATAGATGTGCATTACCTCTTTTGCCAACAGTTGGGTGCCGGAATGGTTAGTCCCGTCTAGTAAGTAAGTAGTCTTCTCACGAGACACGTTGTAATTAAGTAATAATATGATTGGTAGTCCCTATTCTACATTTGGAACTAAAGGTGACTTCCGCAACGAATCGCTAGGTCGAAATCCATATTTATTACCAAATCATATATCTAAGCCCAAACTATACCTATAATAGCTCACTAGGGATATATGAACGTATACCTTTGCTACCCAAAGGTACTGAACCGACTGATCAGAACCATTATATCCGTATATGTACACATGATATATAACTAATATTTAGACGACATTCGGACGGATGGCCGATACCCTACCAGACCACATCCCAACAGGGAAAAGGAAATAAAGCGGGTTAGCCTTCCTAAGTCCTTTAAACATTTCTTATATAACTATACATACTTAGGCATGCAATTGATAATAAGTATAACAGAGCTTAAGTAAACGTTATTTGATAAATAAAACAATTTGAAGCAAAATAGTTTGAATAACTGTTTGAACAGTAAGAAAAACCACAGGATTTGTAGTTATTAATCATATGTGATTGATGTAATAACTATAAGTACTTAACTTGTATTCCCCCCCCCCCCAATAAAACATTTAAAAACCTTTAAACCATTGATTAAGGGGTATGAACTCACCTGTAGTGAGTGGCACGGATGAACTGAAGCTGTAGGATTGCTAAGTGTCAAGTGAAGTCTTGAACACATTCTATGATCCTAGTTAACATATAACATTACATATATGCATCAAATTAGTCTTAAGCTACTAATAAACAAAGTCAATACACCCTAGGACATGTTAAACACCTTTAACAAGTGTTATAAGCCTCAAGTATTGCATCTAAGTGTTGTAGGGAAAAGCTAGTGTGTGTAGGGTTCAACGAAAACTCCCTAATGGAGTTCACGGCCCTAAGGTCATCAAAAAATGAGTTTACGGTCATAAACTCATGGGTTTACAGCCGTAAGCTCATACTTACTTGACCATTTGATGTTTTGAGGCTTTACAAAACCCTAAGAAGCATTTCTACTTAATGGCAAGGTCTTTGGAAGAGATTAGGGCACCTTTCAACTCCTTTGAGGAGTTCACGGCCCTGGGACCAATTCCCTTAGAGATTACAGCCATAATCTCTCATGGAAAGGGTGGTTTTGGTGTTTTCAATTCCCTAATTTAACTAGGGATGAATCTAGGCTAGTGTCCAAGGCTTATGGAGAGTTTAAAGCACACTTTGGCCCTTTTGTTTGGAGTTCACGGTCCAAGAACTTCTTAGGCCTTGAACACCTTACTCTTGGTGTTCTTGGGGTGTTTTCTAGTCCTACATACATTAGGGTACGAGTCTAGGTTAGTTTCATTGCAAGAGGAAGGGACTAGGGCACTCTTTGCCCCTTAAAGAAGGGTTTATGGTCCAAGATGTTCTTGGGCCGTAAACTCTTTGATCTTGTGGGTTTCTTATGATTTCTAGTGTATTAGACACATATCAAGCCCTATAACACACTTAGATAGAAGTACTCACGATTTGGGACGAAAGGCCGAAGATCCGTGAGAGAGAATTTGGCTTTTCTCTAGTTGGAAATGTAACAAATGAATAATTATGGCCCAGAATCATATATATACTCCTGGGGTTTTTGGCAGAAAATATTTTATTCAAGAAATGAACTCTAATATCATAGAGTTTTGAAATAACAGAGTTGCACAAAACCCTAATGCATCCTCTCTCCTGATATCTCTTTAAGTGTAAATCCTGAAATACTCAAACTTATTCTAATAGTCTGAAAATTTACTGCAAATGTTCTGACTTCTATTAACTTGATAGTGTTTGTACAGAATGGAAATTTTGGGTTGTCACAAGGAACTATAGGATGCAGAGGCTGAGCGTCGCGTTCTCTCTGAGTGAATTGCAATGGGTGCTAGGGAAAGGAGTGGTTCGTGCGATTGACAGAGTCATTGAGAGCACTGAATTCACCAAGGGGGTCCAGGATGTTTGTGAGGCTTATGAAATGCTTGGGTTCGAGAAGGGGAGAAACTGAGTTAGTGCTCCATGTCTTCCGGTAAATCTAAAGTTTCGGGTCCTGGCCGAGTGGTAAGCAGAGCCAAGGAAGTCAACATTACCCTTATGTCTTTTGTTGAGACTCATTTTGCTGGCCTCTTCCGTTAAGGGGATTTAGATTATGATGGATTCCACCAATTTTGTGGCAAGCGGAGCCCGGGAGGTTCTTCCTCAGATTCTGAAGGTTGATTTCTATATCCCCATTGTTGGTTTTGAAATAGATGTGCCTTCCCATGCACTGTTTCCAAGGGAAGGGATTGTACATTTTGTCATGCTTTGTGATGGAAGTGCTCTCTTCCTTTATCACTTTTTTTGTACGTGCGTGTATTTACATTTTGATTTTTCCTATAATAAATTCAAGTTATGATTGGTCGATTTTTCTACTGTGATATTTTTTATACTTTCCCTTGTTCTAAGGTTTACGTCGTATTGGCTAGTGTGCCATAAACGTCACAGAGCTGCTACTACTGAGTTGTGCTTCATTGATCTATGTGTTCAGTTGAGCTTAATGTGTTATGTCACAAGATGTTATCCACTACTGAGGGTTGTACTGTATGGTCTAGCTACCAATACATAGACCGAGATGGTCACCTTGAGGCCTTATACTGTTGTATTATCAGGGGAAAGGTTATGAACCTTTTAGAACCCCCTTTTTCTTGTGCCTTTAATTGGAATTTGTACATTCTCAACTCTAAGATGTTATCAGCACATTGTAGGTAAAGATTATAACTCTTTTAAGACCTCCGGTTGCATTCTTGCATAGATTTTGCTCAAGTAGCGTAGGTGAGCAGCCATTGTTGCTACTTGGAAAATATGCACAAGCTCTTTACTTTTTGCAATTTAAACAGGATTCTGGAAGGCTTTTTGAAATGCAAATTATAAAAGAAAGGAAATAAATAAATAGACACTTGGTATCTAAGTGCCATGGCGCATGCCCGGCTTTCACGTCAGCGCCAGGAGTATGGTTATCATGTGCGGAGTTAGACCATGCTCCCTGTTGGGCGGTGGCTTCCTTTACTTTTTTGCAATTTAAACAGAATTCTAGAAAACTATTTCGAAATGCAAATTGTATTAATCTTTTTAGAAGGAAGGAAAGGACATAAGTCGATAGACACTTGGTATCTAAGCGTCGGGGCTAGGGCTGTAAACGAACTGAACGTTCGGTGAACCGTTCGGTGGGAAGATCGTTTATGTTCGTTTATTTAATAAATGAATGTACATGAACAAAAATTATCGTTGGTTTAGTTAAATGAATGAACATGAACAATGGTCTCGTTCGTTCATTTATGTTTGCGAACGTTCGTTTATGATGTTCATTTATGTTCGTTCATTTAAGTTTATTTATATTCATTTATATTCAATTTTTTATTATATTGCTATATTATATGTTCGTTTATATTCATATATGTTCATTGTGTTTTTTTATTATTGTTCGTTTATGTTCGTTTAGCATGTTCACGAACATAAACGAACGAACATGAACAAGCTAATTTGTTAAACGAACGAACATGAACAAGAAAATCTTTTTCATTTATCCGTTTGTCTTCGTTTGTTGTTCGCCTAACTTAAACGAACGAGCATATAAAATACCTTGTTCGTGTTCGTTTGGTTCGTTTACAGCCCTAGTCGGGGCGCATGCCCGACTTTTGCGTCAGCGCCACGAGTATGGTTATCCTGTGCAAAGTTAGACCATGCTCCTTATTGGGCGGAGACGTTCTTTCTTCAGCTGATGTATATGGGCCTTCATGGGTCGAGACTTCCTCTTGCTTCCCCTGGCGGGGCCCGGTGTGGGGGAACAATGTTTCTCTTTACGTGCTCTAGTGTTGTTGTCACCTCCCTTTCTCTTTGACTTGGCGAGCACTGCAACCGTGGAAGGCGCCTCCCCTTGGCTGCATGAGAATTCCATATGTGCGGTTTTGTACACCTACTCCCTAGGTAGTGTGTTGAATTACTGAAGGAGCTATTTTGATTTCCGAAGGCCTTTGTTAGTGCTCTTCTTCGGGAAGACTTGCATGCCATATGGAACAACATTTTGCTCTTATTGCTATTGTTTCTTGTGCTCGCCTCCTATGTTATGAGGAACTTTGATTCACGTTTTCCATCAGACAAGGTTTGCTCTGGATCCGAAATTGCTCTTATACGGGGCTTGGCATGGGCATCGATTTTCGACCACATAGGTTTATTTGTGAGCTGACTAAACACATATCACCCTTTCTTCCTTGATTCTTGGTTCGGCACATGTGCTTCAGCATATTTCCAGCAGGAGGTCTTTTTCTTTTGGTGACTGCCATTTTTATGCACTTGGGTTTCCTACCTTGCTTCTCGTTGAGCATCACACATGTTGGCTGGCTTAGTCGCTATTATCGTGGCTGATCCATCACTTGTGCTGAATTTGATGACGCTGTGGATAGTAGTTTGGATTGCTCACAGCTGGAAAAGTGCAGGGCATCCTAAGAGTATGTTGTGTTCAGTCGGGCAGTTGACAACCGAGAAATCAAGCACCCTTGTTATTTCCTTTGCCCCGTCATGGCTAACCAGAGTGAACGAGAGTCTGATTGTTCCCGTTGGCCAGAAGCGGTGATCGATGAAACTGACTAGCAGGCCCTAGTGCGGTGGTTCGAGGTACTATTTCCATTCGATGGGCAGTTGGCTAAGGCAGTGCTCGTAGATCAAGTTATCTTGGCTTCCGTTGTTGATGTAAACTTGTTAAACACTGTGTTGACTAATGAAAACGTTGATGTGTAATGGATCAGTGGGATCCCAATGCTCCAGCCTTGGATCATTCATCGAGAAAGCTACGTTGATGGCGTTTTGGTGGTATAGCCTTGCATCGAGATATCGGCTTTGGCGGTTGGTGCATGGGTGAGGCCCGGTGATGCTGAGTATCTTCGCCCTTTTTCTCGGTCTCTTCCTCCATCCTTTTGATTTTTTTGGGTGATGCTGAGTAGTAGTAGTATATTCACTATATCAACGATGTTTCCTACTAGTTGTTTTTCATCAATCTCCCTCTTTAGCACTGTACACTCGTTTGTATCGTGAGTTTTGCTTTTATGGTACTCACAGAACTTAGGCTTGTCTTTTTTTTCCTTGGTTGGGGCCTTGTTGATCGCGGACATCGATATGACCGCTTTTGCTATCGTCCATGTAGAACGATCTGTACCGTCTAGACATCTGTTGGGAGTGATGATTGTGCTACTGCTGGTCACCATCTTGCCTTCCTTACTGGGCCGCGATTGGTCCTGGCACCACCTCCTCCTGCTTTGCATATGCATTGCCTATAGCTCTGATATTGGCCTCTTTTTACTCTTCCCCTTCGATTTGCCTCAAGTATTTTTCAACACGGAACTTAAGTTCCAAATGGGAGCAGGGAACGGTTCCCTACATCTTCTTCGACAGGGGCCCTCGAAGTAAACCTTGGGTGAAAGCACCAGTTACCAGGAACTCTTCATGTCCTGGAACATTCAATGTCACCAGCGTGAACCAGTCATAATATTCAAGGATTGATTCCCCCTCTTTCTACTTGCATTCCATTACAGAGTTAGCATCCCCCTTGCCTTTCCACAATTGTATGAAACTGTTAAGGAAAAGGTATTTTAGTTGATCAAAGTTGTAGATGCTGCCTGGCCTTATATATTTGAACCACTTGCCAGCGTTGTCAGTGAGGGTTCAAGGAAAATAAGTGCAAGTGAAATGATGATCCGTCTTGAGGGAAGTCATTGTCCATTCGTAATTGTCAATGTGGTCGTCTGGATCTGTGGTACCATCATACTTTGGCATGTGTGGAATCATCGCCATGTGTGGAATATCATACTGCAGCAACCTGTGACTAGAATTAGAGCTAGTGCTTCGCATGGGATTGTCCAAGTATGTGGTTAACATCCCGCTGTAAGCCATCTGCTGTTGTATTTGGTACGGTCTTGCATACATCTAGCTATGCATAGTCGCCGATGAGATATATGGCTGATATAGAGGCAGGTCTGGTATCGGCCAGAATTGTTGGATGTCTTTTTGTCCTATTGGGGAAAGAGTATATGAGTGTGCTCCCGCGTATTGCTGTGCGTTCGGGTTGAACGGCTGAGCGACTGCTACGAGGGGATTAACTTCAGATTGAACTGGGAACTGAATGCTAGATCTGGAATAACTGGATCCCTGACCCGCCGAGATCTATGTGCTTGCGACTTGTGGTTGAGTCAGTATATGGATGAAACCTAGGATCTGTTTCACAGATGAGTTGAAGATCGGTTGTTGTTGTATGTAGATCGGCATATGGAGCAAACATTCCATAGTGGTGTGTGGATAGACTGTAGAGGAAATTTGTGGTTGTGGTTGGATGGGGTGGGGGATCCAAGTCCCAGTGTCGGAGGTGTGCGGGAGAGACTGTTTTTCTGGGATAGAGGTCCTGTTGGAACCTAAAAGTGAACCTCTAGCAATCCTAAGTACTTATTCCTAAGTATGCCAATTCTGAAATGAATAGTGCTCCGGAACCTGTCCGGAGCTGAAGAGTTGATAAATGAAGCAAAGTTCCAAACTGAAGTCACTCCAGAACAAATATCTAGAATGTTAGATATTCAGGAGTCTAGCTATTTTGTCTTTTGTTATTTAATGTCTTTGTATTGATGTAACATTTCATAGGACTTAGTCTTTTGTTATATTAAGACAATGAGAATGTCAGAAGTAATTCTATTGTGTAGTCCTATGTAAGTTCTTTGATTAATCCGATGTAACATTCTCTCCTATATAAAGGCACATTCAATACAAGTCAATGACAGACCTTTTTCACACTTTTGGCATCTTTACTAAGTTTTTCAAACATTCTTCTTGTTCTTCATTTATTGTCTTTACTTTGATCATTTACTCTAAGTCTACATTTAATGACTTGATCATTTGCTGAACACATTATCTAAGACTAGACTGGTCCATCGATGCTAGACTTGAAAATTCATTAGTAAGCAGACATTGATCTTAAGCATTCATTCAAGGTTTGTATTCTCAAACCTTCCTCGGAATTTACACTCCGGTATGAAGATCTAGATTCCAATGAAGACATTCAAATCACTTTCGGAATTCTAGGGATCACTGAAAGGGAAGAAAGTGAAGATGAAGAAGACTATGTTCCTGATGATACTCCAAAAGGAGTCCTTGCTCTTCAAGCTACCAAGCTATCCATTCCAAAGGTAATAACTGATGAACAAAAGAGGATATGGTCTGCAGTTTCCTGGCCATCCTCTCTTCCGGACGCTTTTAAGAGGGCTGACAAAATGGATAATGTAAAATCGTTCCTGACCGCTCAAGCCTGCTACTCCTTCTGTATAACCAAACATTCCAGAACCAATAGTTGCTCCAATCGACTAGGGCTCTCCCCTCCGAATCCCTGATGATATTCCAGAAGAACTACTTAAACATCCCACTCCGGAATTCACGATTGATGAGAACCTAAAACTTGTCATAAATGCACTTCATAAAGACAAAGGAAAGAAACCAACGACTTTCGAAAAACAAGCCTTACACTCCGGACATCCTCTCAAACAAAATATTGGATGGTCTCAGGAGGAAATAAATCAGGCAATTAAGGAAAGCATCTGAATCCAAGCCATGATAGACAACCCTGATCCGATGCGTGACATTTCTCCTGTCTGTCGAGAAGGAATCCTCAAGGCGCATGAAAATTTTCCATGCCTTTACTTTGAACTTCCTAGAAACGACTCTGATCAGCTGGATCTTCCTCTTTCTCCTTACAACAAATTCTACACTAAATTTGCTCCGCTTCACCCAACTGATCATCCGGATATGATGATCCGAATTGAACGAGAAAGGCTCGATACCTTCTATGCTAAAACGCTCACCGTTCAAGGAAGTTTGAACCAGAACAAGGATTACCCAAGTTCAGGGTTTCAGATAAAAAATTTTGCTGAAAGTTAAGCTAAACTATCCATTATTTCATTTTCACCTGCTCCGGAACAAGCCAACTCCCCGGACCGTTACTGATGCGAATTTCCCCTCCATGAATTCAAATGACATCCTCACATTAGCCACTTACTTCAGAGAAAACCAGAAGGATGACATCAGTATAGGAGCTTATCACGCAACTCTGAGCTTTTTGAAAGACTATGTTGCCGGTTTCTATAGATGTGACTATGAATTGGCTCATCTGTACGGAACCGAACAATTTGTTGCCAAGATTGACTCCGTTCTTCTGAAAGCTGAACTCCTTGCCGATGGCCCAATTGAAGAGCTGGTTCTAGGGTTTGTGTACACTACGAGAAAATCAAACAAGAAGGATTTCTTCCGAGTCCTAGACAAACACCTGGTTCTGACTAAAGCTCTAAAGAAGTTCATTTCCAGGGCATCCAAATATGATGCTCCAGAACAGGTCAAGACAAATTTCATCAGTCGGTAGGCGTGGTACATTGCGGTGCGAGAATGGCTATTCAGAGCCTTCACCTTCATCAAGGAAGAAATGAACTAAACTTGTTGGATTGCTATGTTCACTTAGGGGAGATTCTTGGAACCTAAAAGTGAACCTCTAGCAATCCTAAGTACTTATTCCTAAGTATGCCAATTCCAAAATGAAGAGTACTCTAGAACCTGTCCAGAGCTGAAGAGTTGATGAATGAAGCGAAGTTCCGAACTGAAGTCACTCCGTAACAAATTTCCGAAATGTTAGATATTCAGGTGTGTAGCTATTTTGTCTTTTGTTATTTAATGTCTTAGTATTGATGTAACGTTTCATAGGACTTAGTCTTTTGTTATATTAAGACAATCAGAATGTCAGAAGTAATTCTATTGTTTGGTCCTATGTAACTGATCAAATTTCTGATAATAAACGTCTCAATGCTAAAATAGATGCTTTACACAACTCTATTGACATGCTTGAAGCAAATGAACGGACGACTCATAATTTTCGTC